GGTCCTGGGTCCCCTGCTCGGCCACTTCCCGGACCGGGACTGGGCCCCTGGGCCCCTGGGCCCCGGCACCTTCGGAGCGGGGCTTCCGCTACGCGGCCTTTACGTTTTTTATCCTCCTTGGAGTATTTGAATGAAGGGGAAACCTGAGCAATTTGCCTGTTTGGGTTGTTTGTTTGGCTGGTTTTTTTTTTAAATTTAAGCGCATGAGATCTAGGTTAGCCTGTACTCGATTCTCAGGGTAGTCTAAAATCGTAGTTGACTCTCTACTGTTTACAAAGTAAAGACGTGAGCAGTCCTCAGTGGAGATAGGAGTCGTTTGGGTTAATTCACCGGATAGAGATTGATTTGTTCCGCACAATGAAAGCGCTGTGCCTTATCTGAGATCCCACCCCACCTCCAACGGGGAGATACATCTCCACGTTAAGTTTTATTAAAATTCTGAGTAATATCGCGGTACAGTAAGCGTGAACACCGTACGTCCCCGGGGAAGACAGTCAGACCCCTCTGCTGGGGTTAGTCACTCATCTTTCCGAACTGCTTTGCAGGCGACAAGCAATCCAGCCTTCAAAAGTGTGTCACAGGTTCTGATTTTTTTTTTCCCCCAAATTTACCTACATAAAAACCTGTGCTCTGATCTTACGTAAGAGATTACTTGTTCCAGTAAGAATACTGTTGTCAGGCAAATCCCCCTTGTTTTGAAACGTAAGCATTTTCAGAGTTTATATTATTGCCATTTTTCTTTTTCCTTTTCTTTCTGCTCAGAAGCAAAAAATCAATCCCTCAGGACCGAAAGGACCCAAACTTGAAACCGATTTATATAAAGAAATGTGACCCCGTCTGCCTACTTAATGAGCCAAGTTGAGCAGAATAAGTGAGCTTAAATTTGATTATTTGTGTGTCTGCCTGAAACTATTTAGTAGAGCTCTTTAATTCTCCATGGGTTGTACAAAACTCATTAAAAGCTGGACAACAAAAGAACTGTGTTGTGTAGCTGGTAATTACAGGTCTTTATGTGGGAGTGGTATGCCGCCTTCTCTCTTGGTATTTGTACACGAAAGCCGCCAAAGCTGTCGCATCCCTGCCGTCCATACCCATTCTCCGTCTATGGGTTGCTAAAAAACATAGAATTAAGTGGGCAAGCATCTGACAAACCAAGTGACCAAAAAGCGCTACCCAGTCAAGCTCTGGGGGAGTGATTCCAACACTCCTGGTGTCTGTCCTGTTGGGTTGGTTTTTTTTGGGGGGTGGTTGTTTGTTCTATTGGGATTTTTGTTGGAGGCCTGTTTTACCAACAGGTGCCTGGGCTGACTTCACCTGGGTAGGATTACATAGTGTTCCAAAGAAAGAGCATTTCGCAAGGTGGCGAAGGACAGGGTTTCATGATTCTCAGTAATAGTCCTGCGTTCTCTTGTCAGCTTGTGAAGGGGGCCGGGGTCCAGACCCTCGGCTCCACCTTGCCTTTGGGGCCCTGTTACAGCTGTGTGGTCCCAGCCCAGGGACCCCCCTGTTACCGGCTTGGTGGCCTCACTTCAGGGCCCCATGGCATCTGCATCTCAGGAATGCAGGAGATCCCAGGACCTACGGACGGGACCTAGTAGGGCCCCCCAGCGCAGGGTTTGGGTCTTGGTGACCAGGCGAAGTGTCCTGGCAGCCTTCCTTGGTGGAGAATATTGACTGCTGTGTGACAGTGGGTGACATAAGGTACCAGATGGAGATTCTGAACCAATGTGGCCACTTTAGAGCAGGACGGTGCCCCCCTCCCATAGCCTGGGACTTACTCGGCCTCTGCCGCTCTGAGCCTTTTCCAGCCCTTACTAGGGACTCCTGCTGCCCCTGCCCTGTTTCACTCAGGGGTGTGTGTGGGGGTTACAGGTCGTTGAGGCAATGGTTTAACTGTAAATGTTGACCATAAAGAGAAAATAGGAAAATACAAAGTAAAATACTTAACCATGCATCAGTGCTATTTGCTGTCACCACTGTGCTCTGGAGATTGGCACAGTGATTAGGGTTCGGGGACAGGCAGGTGCACCCAGAGGAGACCGGAGGTGGGTGCTTAGGGGAACCCCATATTGCTGGCTGAAGGCCTGTAGTTCTGAAGTCATGGAGTTGGGCTGGGGACCCCGGGTTAAAGCTACCTTCACAGGGCTCACCCAGCTCCCTGGAAGGCGAGTAGCTCCTCAGTTGTTTTATTTAGCTCTCTGGCAGCATTTTAGCAGTGCCTTTCCTTCCTTATCAACTTGTACGAACGGACAAGGACAGGTTTGGGACCCCACAGAAAGTTCAGTCTGGCACGGCCTTCTCCAACTCCAAGTCATGTGTGTGGTCTTAAATTCTCTACCAGCCATGTTAAAAATAGCACACAGGTGAAACTGATTTCAGTTAACCTGCTGTATTCAAAATATGTAAGCATGCAGTGTGCATATAAATAATTGAGTCCTCTTGGAAATCCTACTCTACCAATTCTACCAAATCTTGGAAATCCTCCTCTCAGAGCACAATGCTTCACCGTGGCTGGTGGCCGCCATATCATCCCTCATGGACCAATCAATATGTTTAAGTTCAGAACCTCAGAATCCAGCTGGGGAGATTGGTACTTGGTTTTACTTCCTCCTGAAGAAATGCACGGCCAGGTGACACACACAGCAAAGTATTCTGAGCTCTATACTCAGAGCAGGAGGATTGGGGCCTTGTAAGAGGGTTTTGCTCATAAGGTCTGCTACCTGTCTGCTGGGTGTGCTTTCTTATTTACCTCTTGGAGCAGAAGAGGGAAGGGGGTACACTCTGTAACTCCTTCCGGCAGGCTTTCCTGAATCTGATCAGGGCAGCTGCAGGGGTCCCTCAGGCTCCCAAGTGGAGCGCAGAGTGCCCTGCATAGACTTGAGGTGGGCCACTGCCCTCCCGATGCCCAGCCATAACCTCACCTGGGCTGCCAGCCAGTGCCATGGAAACCAGTGGAAGGCAGGACCCCACCAGCTGACCCACTGGCCAAAAATGGCTGAATCGGAGGAGGTCTCCTGTCTAGGTAGGATTTCCTAGAGGGATCTGCATTATTATTTAAATGACTAAGTGGCTCCCCCCTGTCGTTACTCTTGAGCATTGCTTTCCTCAGACCCTTGAGAAAATCCTTTTAGATAAGAATTCCCAGAGCCAGGTGTGAACTACCTGTCACCTGCGGAACTCCCATCAAGGCATCCACGGGACTTCTTGAAAACGTGCCTGTGATTTGTTGCCTCTTTGACGCAGACTTCCTTTTCTCTTTCAAGATGAATGATTTTGGAATCAAGAATATGGACCAAGTAGCTCCTGTAGCTAACAGTTTTCGAGGGACACTCAAGGTGAGCAAGCACATCTTAATCCGTTTTAAGAAACTATTTATTTTTACAGATTGGAAAACGCCATCTCTAGGGAAAAAATACTAGGCCAGGTCCCAGAAAATTGGTTTGGCCCCAGCTTTTTAATTTACTGGCCTCGTGTGTGACTCTTCACCGTGCTTACTTTCTCTCTCTGGGCCTCAAGTTTTCTGGTCTGTAAAATGGGTATCTTGATGCAGGCTCTTCTTGCCTTGCCAGATAGGAAACCATTTAATTTGAAGATAATTAGGGCCTTCTGTGTCTGAGCCTCCTCGCGAGCGAGGAAACAGATCCTGTGATCGTGATAGCGGTGTGTGCTGTCCCTACGGCCCTCCTGTGCGGTTTGAGTTTTGGTCGATGGAGAAGGCTGTTTCTGAGGAGAAATGCAATCCCTTGAGGCCCACCAGGTCTCAGGCGCCTGTCCCAGCCTTGCAGAGAGCAGCAGGCCTGTTTACGTAAACAGAAAAAACAGAGGAAAGATGAAAGAGCCCGCTCCACACTGCCCAAACAGATCTCCTGGCGCTTCTGTCATAATTCCTTTTGGGAACATTCTTTCCAGGCGCAAACTAGTGATTTCCCATTTGCTTTCTCCAAATGTGACAGCGGGATCTGATTGTTCCTGCACTTGTGCAGTGCGCTCTTCCAGCAGCAGAGATTCCGGATTGGCCTCCTTAAAGCTAGGGTCTGGCCTGCTGGTGCTGGGTCTCTGGCCTTTTCTGCTTTGCCTGTCTTTTGAGGCTGTTTGTCTGCTAACAGCAACCCCACCCCACCCCCACAGAACCAGAACTGGGCCTCGAGTATTTCTGTTATCTGAGAAAAATCGGCCAACTTCAATGACTGTTCGGTTTGATCTGGTCAGATGGTTTAAGGTAGCAGAAATGACCTAAGAAACTAAGGCTGCTAACTTGAAACCACACCCCGAAGAAAATCCTTCTATGAATTAGAATTTGATGATGCTCCCGTGATGTGTGCGTTCGGAGAAAAAACAGTCACTGCCCAAATTTATGTGTTGAAATAGGAAGCCGGGATTTGTATTGTTCTTTGGCTTCCTGATTTTAAAAAAAGAACTCGAAGTCCGGAAACGCAGCCCTTCGTCCGCCTGGGCAGTGCTAGTGGGAATTTTTGAACATTTGGCTGTTTCACTAAACCAAGCCCTGCTGTCCTTCAGTTTACAGACCTCGATGAGCCTTTCCAACTGGGTCGGTTGGGTTTGTCCTGGTGTTAGGGTGCTGGAGGGGGTGGGTGCCCAACTTCTGCCTCCCCTCCTTTGTAAGGCGTCATTCGCCGTTCTGCATTTCTGAAAGAAAGCACACAGCTGATTTTATTTGTAAATGTGTTGTACATTTTTAAATTGATGACTCAACAGATGGGTCATTGTATTACACATGACTTGGGATTTCCACATTTATGTTGGAAAAATGGAACCTTTCTTCACGGTTTCCTCTGCTAGTGAAGCGATGATAAATGAGTGCATTTATTATGCCTTAGAAATGCATCTTCCGTTGAAGGCGGATTTTTCCCCCTCCACAAATACTGTATGAGATTAGCAGCCCTCACTTCGGTGTTTTTGTCTTTGTGCTAGTTTCTTTCTCTCAGAAATCTTTTGCCTTGGGGAATAAGTTGAGGGGTTCCTTTTAATACCCTTCACTGATATGAAATGAAAACTGAAGGAATTCTTTTCATATGTTACTGCTTTCTAAACCATTGGAATTGGTAAGGAAAAACGTTCCCAGTTCTTTCTGAAATTGTTTCATGGTAAATATTTCAAAGCAAATGCTTCCAAAAAGAGAATAGTTTTTCCTTTTCTTTCTTTCTTTCTTTCTTTTTCTTTCTTTTCTTTTTTTTTTTGTTTGTTTGTTTGTTTCAGTTTTTACTCAGTACTTTGCTTTTCGTTGTGCTCTGTTGCACCGAAGGTACCTGCTTATAGGTGTTTTCATTCCCATACACCCAGCCTGGTTAAATTTTCCTCCCGTGTAATCAGAGAGGCAGGAATCTGCAGAAAGGATCTCTAAGCTTCCTCTGGGCATGGTGCTAAGATTCTGTCATTTTCAGATTTATTTAATGCATGAGGTTGAGCAGGTTACTGCAGTTCCCAGTCCTCCTGGCTCGCTGAGGTTAGTTGAATAATTCAGAGAACGGTGGAATCCTGTGGGTCACTTTGACCTTCTTAGGAAATGTGTTTCCAGTCCTAGTGGTTTATTCGGTGCTGCTTTGTAATTGCCGGCTTAGTGGAGATTGCCCTCGGACCACTTTTACGGTAGGTAATTAATTAAGTCGGCGCCTCATTGGATCTCCTCTTTTCCTTCCCCTCGGTTGCTGCAGCGCCAGCCAGCCTTTGACACCTTCGATGGGTCGCTCTTTGCCGTCTTCCCCTCCATAAACGAAGAGCAGACACTCCAGGAAGTGCCCACAGGCTTGGACTCCATTTCTCATGGTAATTTGTTCCCTGGCCTTGTGATTTCCCTAAGGAGTTCAGTAAATAAAGAGACAAAGTTGGTGAGCAAGGAATGAATCCTGGCCCGTGGAAAGGTGGACCTGGGAGAAGATCCTTTGACTTAGGAGTAAATTTGGCGACGCTGATGTCTATATCCCGCGTGGCACCCAGTGGGCTGCTGTCACACACTGCAGGGGAAGCCCGGGGCTTCCTTGACACCAGTAACGCTGTCCTCCCTCCCTGTCCACTCTGCAGAGCAGACATAACACCCCAGACCCCCGCTTTCCATCCTGGGTGCATAGCGGCTAAGTCATCTGGCCTCCTCCCCTCCGGATTCCGGACAGCATAGACTTCCCCGTCCTTATCTGTGTCTGCCGTTCTTTCTGGAGGTCTTTGTGTATTCTCACTGCAAGGGAAGAGTGGGTTAGATAGTGTCTCTGCACCTGCTTTGATAGAGCTTTCAGTTGGAAGCATTCCAGAAGTTGCTTTGCCAGCTCAAGTAGGTGCCACAAAGATACAGCCAGGAAAATGAATTAAAACACGTGAGCTTGCGTGAGCGAAGCACAGCGTGGCCAGCCCTGTGTCGGTCTTCACGTTTCTGAGCACATCCCAGAGAAAATTGTTTTTCCAGAAACTCGGAGGGGCTGCTGCTTTGGGGAGCTGAGCACCAGCTCTGGGTGCCACTCCCGAGTCCCTTTGCCCACTGCTGGTTTCATGGACACAACTCCGCATTTCACACCAGTGACCCTTTAGGGCATTCGATCAAATGCTACAGCTGGCTGTGTCATCTAAAATTCTAAAATAGGCGTAGGTAAAACTTGGACCTAGGCACCCCTGATTTCCAAAGTTCTGCAAGATAGGAAAATCTGGGATTTTATTGCAGGTTTCCTCCATGTGTGTAGCTCTAAGACATGTCATGTTTTCTCAGGTCTGGCTAAGAAAATTTTGTTCATATTTTTATGTATTTAAATATGGATTTTTTATCGATGTGTTGGCAGTCTAACCCAGGGCCACTCACGTTCTAGGCAAGCGCTCGGCCACTGCGCTCCATAACCAGCCCCACATTTGTAAGTATTTCTTAAGAAATCGTGTTGCTGGCCGTGGAGGTGCATACCTGTAACCTCAGCACTCAGGAAGTGAGTTCAAGGACAGCCTGAAATGCATAGCGAGACCCTGTCTCAAACAAAAGAGAAAGAAAATAAATTAGTTAAGATTTGAGGACAGAATTGTTCTTTGCTGCAAACTAAGCTCTCTCTGCATCTCCACTGGTGCTGTCCCTTGACATCCTCTGCCCCCCGCCCCCGTTCCCCCGCTCTTTCTCCAGACTCTACCTGCTGCGAGCTCCCTCTGCTGACCCCCTGCAGCAAGGCTGTGATGAGCCAGGCCTTGAAGGCCACCTTCAGCGGCTTCCAGAAGGAGCAGCGGCGGCTGGGCATCCCCAGGAGTAAGTGTCAGCTCTGCCTCTCTTGGGTCAGGAGGGTGATGGGACCTGGCTCCGAGCTGCTGTTTGGGGGTTGCAGAGGGAAGGCCGGTGCAGACCCCTGAGCCGGTCTCCCGGCGCCCTGGTCTGGGGCTTTGGGACTTGGGTCCTGCCTGGGTGCTGGCCTGGTCTTGCTGCCTTCGTGTCCCCTTCACCCACAGCTGTCTCCTCTTCCTCCCTGGCAGACCCCTGGCTGTGGACTGAGCAGCAGGTGTGCCAGTGGCTTCTCTGGGCCACCAACGAGTTCAGCCTGGTGAATGTGAACCTGCAGCGTTTCGGCATGAACGGCCAGGTCCTGTGTGACCTCGGGAAGGAGCGCTTCCTGGAGCTGGCACCTGACTTCGTGGGTGACATTCTGTGGGAGCATCTGGAACAGATGATCAAAGGTAACGCTGGCTGGCTGGCCAGTGCAGGGCACCAGGGCAGGGCGGGTGTCTGCAGCCGCGGGGTTGCCCCGGTCCCTCAAGGGAGTCAGGCACACCATGGGGCGAGGTGGTCGTTGCCTGGAGGAGCTCGAGTCACCGCTCAGGTGCTGCCGGCGACACTGGTCGTGGTGGCCGGGGCAGACTGGGTGCGTGGGCAGCAGGAATTCTGTGTGTTCTGAGCTCACGTTACATGGCAGGAGATAAGTCAGCTTCAATGAAAGGGAGGCTTTACTCAGCTAAGCTCGGAGTTTTCCTGAGTCTAGAAGGAATCCGGCAGAGAATTTCAGCGGGCAGGAGTGTTCGGTATTTAAACAAGGAAGTAATTGATGAGTATTTACCCACTGAGCTATTACACGGAAACTGGCCACCCATCAACAGAAATCTCGCTAAGTACAGACAGCCTTGATCTAGGACTTAAAAGACCAATGAAAATGTTTAGAATACATTGGAATTAAAAAACACAGAGAAGGCATCATTTCGGTTGAACGGTGTAAGAAAATGGGCACCTTGGTTGAAGTGGGGACGGTATTCCTGACCAAGTTACACATCCCAGTTCAACATCTGCCATAGATCCAGAGCCTCCACTAGACCCGGCTTCTGCCACCAGCGCCTTTTTAGTTCCAACTTCTCAGGGCCAGGGAGACTCACTTTTTTAAAGACCCTCAAATGTTCTCTGAACTTGGGTCTCAACTGGAAAGATGCCGGTGAACCTGCTCATTTGGCAAATTTTAGCTGGTTTTTCTGTGACCCTCGTGTGTGTGTGTGTGCGTGCGTGTGTGTGCGTGTGTGTGCATGCGTGTGTGTGTGTTCCTAGCAAATGCAAACCTTTTTTCCTTTCGAAGTTCGCAGGCTCACAGATCCCATCACAGCTTTCTACACGGAGGACAAACTTAGTCCCCCTGTGTCCCCAGTCCTTGGGCACGTGCTTCTCCGTCAACATTGAACTGTTTTGTTTTTTTTTTTAACAGAAGAATGCATGAAATGCTTGATTGGGGTCTTTCCGATCTGACATTAGAAAATGTAACTTTGCCAAAGATTTCATTAATTTTGGAAAACTCTAGTTACTAGAAAAGTAGATGGGTGTCTGGGGTGATCTGAGGAGAACGTGGGATCACACGCGACACCCTCAGGCGTGGTGGGAAGCTCTTAAGTGTGGTGATGCGGAGACACCCCGGGTGACAGAAGTCCAGGCAGTAGCGTTTCTGCGGTGGAGCTTTGACTGGAACCTGCCGTCTTACGCAGCCTGTGTGTGTTTTACAGAAAACCAGGAAAAGGCAGAGGATCAATATGAAGAGAACTCGCACCTCAACTCAGTCCCTCAGTGGATTAACAACAACACACTAGGTCAGTTCGGTTGGTTCTCGAGACCTGACTCTTGGCCCCTGTCCCGGGGACAGTCCGGCGCCTCCCGTCCCCCACAGTGGTCACAGGCAGCTGCTGAGCCGCTGCAGTGGGGCTTGGTCTACTTTGAGATGTGTCCAGAATCTAGGGCTCGGTGATCCGGAAGCCTTAATGTGAAACAAAGACTGTGAAGTACCTCCTTGGCAATTTATAAATAGTGTTTACACCCTAGGGTGATAATGGATACCTTCGGTCCATTAAGACGAACAATTAAGTCTGTTTCTTGCTTTTTTTTTTTTTAATGTCACTAGTAGAAAATTTAAAATTGCGTAAGGGTCATTATCTCTCCCTGGCTCATCTCTGGGCGGGGCGGTTTGTGCAGTAAGAGGCCAATGACTGTCATCGCCAGAAATGAGTCTAGCGTGACGCAGAGGCGGCAGCAGAATGGTCGGCGGTGTGCTTGAACCGGGGGCTTGGAGCTTCTGCCCCAGAATCCGGTGCTGGTGGCTGCTCCTGGGCCCCGCCGTGATCCACTAGTGCAGTTAACCGTGGCTTCTACGCCAGCTGTAACAGCTCTGCCCCTCTGCCCCAGGTTTTGGCGTGGAGCAGGCTGCATACGGAATGCAGACCCCGAGTTACCCCAAAGGCGGCCTCCTGGACGCCCTTTGTCCATCGTCCACAGCGCCCGGGGTGCTGAGCTCCGAGCAGGACTTTCAGATGTTCTCCAAGTCTCGTCTCAGCACCGTCAGCGGCAGTTACTGCTCCGTGGGCCAGGACTTCGCCAGCAACAGCTTGAACCTGCTGGCCAGCAGCACTGGTAAGATGGGCGCTGCCTGTGTGTGGGGTTCTGAGTCCTCTGATCCTGCATCCAGCCTCGGGAGGTGCTGCAGGGCCCAGGCCGGTGTGCAGCTGGCAGGTTTCAGACACTGGTCCACATGCCGCAGGGATGCTGTAAGCAAGACACAGCCCCTGCTCTTGAAGCTGAATTCCCTCCCCAGCGAGATATTTTGTGCAGATGTAAGACTGTGACAGATTTCTTTTTAAGGGGACTTAAAATATGCACAGTGCGCAGATCTCAGGTTAGACAACCGGCTGGATTTTTGTGTGGTTTTGCACCTCAGTGACCACCATCCAAAGGGAAACGGAAGTTTGAGCACCCAGAAGGTGCCTCATACCTCTTCCAAGTCCACAGCGTTGTCACCAGAAGAGGAAAGCATGAACATTTTACTGTCATAAGTTATTTTTTCCTGTTCTTGAACTTCATACAGATGAAATCACATGGAATATTTTCTTAAGTTTGTCTTTTGCCAGTCATGCCTGAGCTTCATGCGTGTTGTAGCCATTTGTTTCTTTTTCATTGCTGTGCAATATTCCACTGTGTGAGGCTGTGATCTGTCCTCTCTTCCGTTGATGGAAAGTGTGATTTGAATATGTACTTGTCCCGGGGAGTAGGCGTGTGAGCTGAGGAACATTTTGAGGAGTCTGATGATTCTGCGCCAGGAGGGTGTGTGTCTGCACGGCGGGCGGTTGGACCCAAGACCTGCCCGGGTGGTTACTTACTAGCTCTGGGCCCTTCCCGGGTCCTGGGGGAGCCACAGCACGTGCCACCTGTTCTTCCAGGGAAGCCCAAAGACCATGACTCGGCCGAGCATGGTGGGGACAGCTTCGAGAGCTCAGACTCGCTGATGCGCTCCTGGAACAGCCAGTCGTCCCTGCTGGACGTGCAGCGCGTGCCTTCCTTCGAGAGCTTCGAGGATGATTGCAGCCAGACCCTGTGCCTGGGCAAGCCGACCATATCCTTCAAGGACTACATCCAGGAGCGCAGCGACCCGGTGGAGCAGGGCAAACCTGTCATCCCTGCGGCCGTGCTGGCCGGCTTCACAGGTGCGCCTGGCTGCCCTCAGTTCCTCAGGTCCTGGCCGGGCCCTGCCACCGCGCCCGGGTAGTTCGGTGCTTTCTCGCCGAAGCGTGTCACGTTGACGCCCCGCAGCTGCCCTGCCCGGATTCTGGAAAAGCCGCCCGGCAGGAATGTCCTGTGCCCAGAGCGCAGTGGGTGGTGGGGTGGGTACAGCTGGCCCTGCAGTGCTAGGGAGGAGGAGGAGGAGGAGGCGGCGGCGGCCGGGACTCACGGCTGCAGCGCCTCAGGAATTGTCAGCTGGCCGGGAGGGGCGGCCCAACCGGCCGGGTCCTGGCACTGTTTCCCTTGCTGGCCTCTCAGGTTAGGGGCAGAGCTATTCTAGGCAGAGGACAAATATTAAAGCTGTTTATGGAACCAGATGTTTCAAATACTAGAGCAAAAAATATTAAATGCTTTTTGTGTCCTTAAATGTGCTTTTTTTTTTTTTTTTTTTT